GCTTCTAACCCTTTGGCTGTTTTAATTGTCTCTCAATTGAGGCGGCTTAATTGATATTTATTATCAAATGGAGGGTGGTATGTTGTTTCTGCAATTTTCTTATATCCAACATTTTTTTTGAATTTTAGGTTGCTGTATTGTGTTTTGGAGATGTTGTTTAGGTTTTGAAGCTAGAGACATTTTTGCTGTAAACAAATTACTCATGCGGATATTAGTGTTAGCAACGTCTTGCGTAATCTCTTTTCACTTTTGGCACCAGAGATATGCATTTTAATGTATTTTCTGTAATAATTTCTCAAAAATACAAAACGTTTACTGCCCTTTCGGGCTTTTTTTACTGGGAAAATCCTTCCACTTTTTATTTCGAAATTTACTGTTTCCCGACTGCTCTGCAAGGTGTCATCAGTGCTTCTGTATGCTTCATTGGAATGTCTTGGATCCGCATATTTATGTTTTGCTGGATGTTGTTAAATGTTAGGGTTAAGCCCCATACTGACTTATGGATTCATCTTATTCCTTGCTACAATCACTGGTCCGCAATTATGTTTGAAATGCATAAACTTGTATATCAATCATTGCTTCCTGAGTTTACCAATGCTCTCTGGTGAGGCTTTTTTTGAAGGTGCGATGACATATTCCTTTCCACTAATCCCAACTCATAAGTTGTCTTCGTTACATCCTGATGTGACTTGATTCTAGTGATCATTAATCCATCTTACACGGTCTATCATTTTTCTTCAGCCATTCAATTCTTGCCCCACGCGTCTACCCTTAATGCAAACCCTATTTACTCCATCAACAGTAATATGCATTTCAATTTTTTAGACAGTAAAACTACAGATCCAGCAGGCGATCCACCTCGATCTCCCTTTAAAATGAAGCCGTCTCTTCGACTCGGAAACAGGGAAAGCGATGCCAAAACAAACAAAAAAATTGGTCACCGAAGGGTTACTGATCAGGGAACTGTGACATATAAGAAGGTAATGTTTTTTTTAAAATATCATCATTAATTGAATCTATGTCATTTTTTGGTTTCGTCTGATTCATAATTTCCTAGGAGACAGCATGTTATCCTGAACTTGTGAACTGACTCATAATTGCCTTTGAATACGAGCCAAGTTTTGTGATTGTGTCCCCCCCTTAATGTAGAAGTTCGTGCCAGTTACTGTTTTGGTAACAGCCCATTGTGACCAGAAATACGTTATTTAACTAAACGTTAAAGTACACGCATGGGCACTTATGTGGATGCAAACGAATTCTTATAATCTACCAGGCCTCATCTATTATCACGCAAAAGAGCCATAAACGTGTCAGTTCAATGGCGTCAACGTCGTTCAGATCCCAGAGGTCAGATGTTGTGATTGGCTTCTAGTTGGGAATAGACAGGAAATAGTTCACTTGAAAAGTGTATTCTGTGATAAGCTACTAAAGGTTTTCGGTGGAATTGATGTTTTCGTTGTCATCACCGAAAAGTGCATCATCTTTTTCACCATCCTAGACTGGTCATGTTATATGTTATATTAAATGTGCTAGGTGCATTCATCTGCCTGTAGATTGGAATATTTCGAGTAATTAAATTCAGTGCTCCGCGCTCGTTTTGCAACGAAGCATTTTAATTAATTTAATTGCTAAACAGCAAATCCGTGATTTTTCCATTTTTAAATAGACTCCTACTTCAGAGATTCAACGAGCAATCCAGCTAGGCATCCATCACAGCATCGGCACGCTCCAACAGAAGCAGGTCCGAGATGTACTGTTTCGGGATTTTGAAGTAGTGGAAACTGTGGATTTCCCTCGATCTGGCACCAAAACGACGCCCGCCCATGGTCTCTCAGATTTTCGATTTCGAACATTTGCACCTGTTGCATTTCGCTCCTTCCGTGATCACTTTCAGCTGGATATACGGGATTACTTGGTAGGTTTCTGTGATTTTAAAGCAGGTTCCTAAATGGTACATTCACGAGTTTCACTTGACGTTAATTGGCCTTGTGTCCATCATTTCGCATTATATGTCTGCCCAATAATGCTGTGGTGATTGCACTTATATCCAATATCGCCTTTTGTATTTTGCGCAATGGTGGCGATGGTTTGGACAACTAAGAACGTCAAAAAAGTTCTTGTGTGTAAGGAGTAGAGTTGTTTACGGTTAAGATCGTGTGGTTTGCTGTATCGTTTCATTCAGAAGTGACAAATAAACGACTGCGTCAATTGAGCAGGTGTCATCACATATGCATGATCGTGGACAGTTTTCACATTCCTAAAACAATTATTGGTTAGGTTAATTTTAGGCGAGAATGATTAGCAGCTTTATTACTTTTTTACTAACCAGTGATTTGCCCGCTGAATATCACTGGTTTGGAATCGATATCCACAAGCAGTAAAAAGTTCCACCTAATCACATATCTCGTGTCGTTCACAATCTTGACAAAAAATGTTTTTATGGCATTTGCCCAAAATTTTCATTTCATATGGCAAAGCACCTGGCTTTCTTTTTTAATAAGTGCTTTAAAAGTAATTCAGGTTTGTTCCGAATAAGTCTTCTGATATTTTTTGACGCAAAGTTGATTGTCATTATGACTGCTGATGATTAGACAAACTCATTTTGCAGCACAATTGTGTAATCGATCATCTAGAAAAAAAGATGCTTTTGTTATGGGGTAAGTGTATGTGCAGGTATAACTCGATTGTTGCCACAATTCATTTTTCTTTTATCAATTAGCCATTAGAATTGCCTCCTCTGCTTGGTTTTACGTCAGATACATTTCAGTCCCTTAAATTTCAAGAGTTCCGTCAAGTTCGATAGGAGTACAGTTCTGCAGCCCTAATAATCGCATTTTATGCTATTTTTGTGTACTCGACACTTAAAGTGTCATTTTGTGTAATGTCAGTAAATTTTCATAAACTCCGTAAGTGCATGTGGGATGGAATTTGTGCAAGCCATCTAGTCTTCCACCCAGTCACCGCTATGACGTCGCTTAAAATAAATGAAGCCGACCAAGATTATAATCATTATTCCTGGGTTCAGTCGCCGTTTTTCTGTGTCTGTTTTTTAGTGATCGCTGTTGCAGAGTTAATGCTGGATCTTACACGTTAACCTAATCGATAAGGCACCCAAAATATCGCGTTAGCATGACCGAACTGTTTATGCTTCCCCCAAACAGTAAAAGGCAAGCTTTCATTGTGTTGTGTTCGCGGGTGGGACCCAAAGCAGACGTCTTATACTGGCGGCGTTTTGATGGTTTCTAAGCCCACCACTTGTATACAGCATTTTAAGTCGCCAGTGAATGAATAATTAATGCGTCTTACAAATTATTAATATGGCTAATGTAGTAACCGCACCAGTGCAGAGTAATTTCTGTCGCTCTTTTTGTCTCGTGCCATGGTTGTTGTTTCCATTAGCGATGATCCAAGGTTCTTACTTGGTGCCCATGTAAGTGTCGATGTGTGTTTATGCATGTGCCATATTGCTGCCACCTACCTGTCCAACCTCGCCCACATGTCTTGGATGTGATTTTTAGCCTGCATTATTAACTCCGTCCTTAAAATTTGACCTTACGCCTGAACAGATTTTGTCTTCCGCTTACCACAATCCTCGTGCTTTACAAATTGTTACGGATCTGTCTTTCCGTGATATGCTCTCTATTTCCTTTGCTTTATTCACAGAGCTCCGATATCTGGGGTGGTTTAAAGTGCTAAAGGTGTACCTATGTTCCCGTTTTACCATGAAATTTATTATAATCAGGGTCGTATGGGCTCTCATCCCATTGTACTAAGCAGCGTCTATCTGTTTATTAAGCGTTCTCTCATACATTGAAAACTCGTGAAGCGTGTTCAGGGGTTTATCTAAAAGCGTGCATCCTCTCGTGTGAGTGAGAGTAAATGTTTGCAGCCTTGGACTCGCGGTGTTTTTTGTTGTTTTCTGCTAATATACTATAAATGCTAATGTGATCGTAGTGGGTAATTCCCGGTTTTCACATCGTTAAACAGTCCTTTTTCTATAAGTCCCTACTTTGTCATCGAATGACCGACACCCTCAATGCGGTTAATCTATTCTGTTACCCTTGTGATAGTATACTTGGCTCTTGTTTACGTTCCGTCCGCTCTTCCAAATTATAAGTTGTGAATAATTTCCACAATCTTACGTCAATGGATCTATGAGTGCATGTTAAATGTGTTCAAATATTAGATTCTAACTCTGATGTAGCATTGCAACCTTTGTTATTATGTCAAAAGCCATTAAATTTTTGCGACTTCCCTCAAATTTCAACAAAACCTGATTTAAATACACATAGTTAAAGTTGACGATTAGGACTAGTAATAATGATAAAACCGAATCCAAACGATGGTGATTTAAGATTGGAGCAGATTTTTGTGCTTGAAAATGCAGCTCAGGGTATATGTATATATTATATGGTCAATTGGGGTTTTGACTCTAGGCATTTTGTTGCGTTGATCATCTACTAATGAGTCATTAGTAGTAGCCTTTTGTGGGCTCGCGTTTTCACTAACAGTTTTTTAATTTGTTGGCTATCCTCGTAAATTCACTACCCTAGCGGTTATTATCATCAGAAAAGTGTTAGTCAATCACCTAAGGTGTGTTTTCCCATTTCGCGATTCTACGTGTCTAGTGGTAATCTTCAATTCTAGTTTAGATTTTCATTTACTGCTTTCTGGTGTTTTTTTGAGGTTGAATGGGTTTATTCGGCTGAATAACAGGTTCGTAAAAAACCAGCAGGCACCTATTTGACAGGTTTTTGCCTAGCGATTAAACTTGTGTTTTGGTGCAATTTCACCGCCGAGGTTAAGAAAATCCGATAGTCAAGGTTATGTATTGCCACTGCAGAGAATGACAAATAAATGTTCTCTGTCACATGTAGCCTTATCTCTCAAAAACATCCTAACGGACCCCGTGTGGTTTGTGCACACGGTAAGGGAACTAAGCATGTTGCAGATCGATAATTCGGTTAAAAAAGATAAATCCAAACACCCTGATTCACAAAGTCCGTTATTTTAATCTGTGGTTACGGCATTTTGTGCCTGTTCGCTTAACGTGCCACAGTGAAGTTAATGCTAATCAGGTAGTTTTACGAACCGACCGGCAGAGTTCTCAAGCTTTCACTTTTATTTACCTAGCTATATGATTTTGTCGAAGATCGCCATTTGAGCACATATAGTGCTCCACAAATTTGTAATCGACTTCGATTTCGTGCAGTTATGCTGAAATATTTGCTGACATATTCATTGTTTTATTTTAAATACAACTGTAAGCAATGTCCGGTTGTGTATGAAAGCCACGTCAAACCGTATCGAAATTACGGCAGAACTTTAATGTAATTTGTTGGCGTCTGTACACTCACTTCGCCATTGCTGATCTGGGTTGTAATATGTTGGCGGTTGAATCGGTCATTTCGTCACATTGAGGGAAATTGAGTAAATGAGATCACCTAACAGTGGTTTTTTTTGAGCGAGGTTGAATTCTCGAAGGGATTGCTGTTTAGTTGGGCTACGACATGTCGTGGGAAATAATTGCAGAGCAACGTCAGTTCTAGTGGAACAAGGAAGGGACACCCAAGAAGGTGAGCGTGCGTAAATGATGGATGTGATTGCCTGTCAAAGTGTAGCTGTTCTCTGGCATTGCATCCTTCACGAATGAAGAATCAGAGAAAAGCTTGTTGGAAGGTGGGTTCAGATGAATACGATGTAGAATTGTCGCTACAAACAGGGTTTGCTCACATTAGGCAATCATTAGTATACTTTTGTGTGGGTAGCAAGTATGCATGAAAATTGGACTAAGTTTTGCTTCAGCTGTCCGTCCTGATGCTCACTTGTTTTCCAATGAACCCCTGGACACTTTAATTACAACTTCTTTTATGTTTTGTTTGGACGTGAACCTGGAGGCCTCTCAGATGCAATCTAGTTAATGTGAAAATACAACTTCTAAATGTACCATTTATGGGGCACGGACCAGCAAGGGTAGCATTGTATGTAATGTAATCTAAAGTTTGGAAAAGAGACATTCTTGAATACTGGACAGGTATTATTGTTTTTTAATCAACATTGATTTTAATTTGTAACTTGGGCTTCCTCTCACGATGAGTTTGACTCCCTTTTTTCTCCGGAGTGAAATGTTTTGTTTCGTTTGAATAACTTTTAATTACATGTAATTTCGGGGAGGTTGTGACTTGTGTGTCCTTAAAACCCACAATAACCTTTTAAGCGTCATTAAACTTCTGGAACTCACTGGGGCAACATCTTGTCGTGATGTTTTATTTTCATTCTATCCTGCTAAAGCGCCGGAGTTGTTAGGCCGTGTGTATGATTGTTAGTCGACTTTGCTGCCATCACGACCCTTTAATTGACTACTGCCAGTTTCTCTTTTTAGAATTCTTTGTGTTCTCAGGAGCTTCGGGAACTTTCAAATCCTGGCGCTAGTGGGTCAATTTTTTACATTTCCGCAGATGATGAATTTATAATAAAAACCGTGCAACACAAAGAAGCTAACTTTCTTCAGAAACTCCTTCCAGAGTATTACATGAACCTAGTACAACACACTCGAACTTTGCTACCGAAGTTTTACGGCCTTCACTGCTATCAGGTAGGGATGTCTCGCCAATCAAAGATTAAGTTTTTTTCGTCGACCGCTTGGTAGGTCTTTTTTAGAGCTCAGTGATAAGTGCTTTAATTTTTTGTCTCACCTGTTATGTAACCCAATGGTCCTAGACACGTGAGGACACCTCCAGGACAGACTTCAACTAACCTGAGCTTTGTAAAGCGTTATTCTTCTTTAATGTGGTAGTCGGTATTTCTAGCTCGTTCTGTTACTAAAATGCTTTTCCTAAAACATTTTGGTATGATAAATTATTTTTGGTAAATGAGGCGTTTTGGCCTCGACTGAGACCGAAACAAAAATACTGTTTTCTTGGAACACGCCGTGCTTCGTAGCCTAGTCGGTATTACTTGTCCTATCCCATCAACGAAAATTTTTCAGTTCAGTTCACTCAGTGTGATTGCCTGTGGTACCTCCTGCTGTGAACTAGGTCGATGTTTAATATATTTAGTTAGGGCACTTCGATTGTTCTATGTTTGGTATCATCCAAATGTTCGTCTAATTTTAAAAAAAGGAAACTCAAATTTTTTTTCTGTTCAACTCGTTACTGTCAATCTTCCTTTCCTAAAGTGCCTTCAAATGGGCAACCGGCTTCGTGGCAGTAGTCGTCCGACGTGCGCGATGTCGCTTGCAACCGAAAGCCAAATTATTAAAGACCGTAGCTCACGCAGGACCATAAGACAATCACTCAGATTTTCCTTTCACATGAGGCTGGTAATTGCTTCCCTAGGAGAACACATTGTAGCCGCCTTGGCATGACCTCTAGACACCAGCAAATAATTTAGGCGTTTTTTATCTTGCTTGCTATGAAGCTTATCACTCTTCTGGAAATTTCTAAATTACTCATGTAATTACGCGCATCTATATACATCTTGAGGCAAATTTCGTGATACATTCTTTAAATATTTTTTACTGGTTTGGTTAACAAGATTACTGAATTGGTCGTTGCCTATCCAGCATCGAACCATCTACCCTTGGCTTATTCGAACGTTGTAGTCCGTAAACAGCGCATTCGGTTGCTTTGAAATGCTTTTACAGAGGTCCTGGAATACAGAGTAACGCTGCTGGGCAATTATGTCGAAATATTTTGTATTTCCACAAGGATAGTATTAACTTTGTTGGAGTATATTTTACAAAATATTGCTAAAAACAGACCATTATATCGCCTTTCCCCTCGCCTTTCAATTTCAATGTTCTCTGTAGCTACTTTGTACTCTAGGATAAATAAACAAAAAAATGAGGAAAAATAAGGCGGCAGTGGGGCTTAAACGTCGGCCACCGACAAACCTTACCAACTGCACTACGCTCACTTGCTTGCCAAGTGAGCGTATTTACTGGCTTATTAGTCGCGCGTTAAACTCGTTATCGTCTAGTCTCTCAGATACCAAGGCCTGTTAGGAGGAATTCTGTCAGTAGGGCGCCTAAAGAAAATCTCTCCTCAAAACCCTTACGACCTATCAAAATCGTTTGCAACATGGTTAATGGTCCCTCTGTTACACTAATACATCAGTTCAAATGGTGAATTGAGAACTAGTCACCACTTTGTAGGTTTTCTGTGTGTGAAAGTGGTTTGGATCAAGTATGTTGGTACACTTACACTTTTTTTCAGTGCTCTGGGAAAAACATTCGTTTCGTTGTAATGAACAATTTGTTACCATCATCGGTGAAAATGCACGAACGCTATGATCTTAAGGGTTCTTCCTACAAACGAAAGGCCAACGACCGCGAATTAGCCAAAGCCTCACCCACTCTCAAAGATCTCGACTTCAAGTGAGTTTATTGCCTTTCCCTACTGCTTTCGCGTTATAATCGGGGATCTATAGTCAAGATATACTTTCGTTAGATAAAGCTGATACAATAAGGTGGTATTACTTTCACTCAGGTTATGTGGCTGAAGTAATTGGCCCTTGTCAGATACGTCTTTTTTGTCAACTACAATCCCATTTGTGTGTGTGTTTATCCTAAAGTATTTGTTAATTCAAATGGTCATTGCCAAAATTGTTAAAGATTACGAAGTCTTTTGAACCGAACGGAGCCTGAAAAATCAGTAACATGCCAATTAAACTTTCCTCCTGGCAGTAACGCTGTTTGTAGTCACTATTGCGTATCCTCGGATTAATTTAATTGCATCAGAGCCGGGATCAAAACTTTTTTTTAAAAAACTGAATGTGCATTTACTTGGCGAGGTTCTCACCGATCGACGAAGACATCAGTGACGCCCTTTCAGAGCGCTAACGCAATTATTTCCACCTACGGACAGTTTGTGCTGCGATTTAGGTTGTAGTGTACTACGATAACTTGAAGTTATTCTCTTAGGTCTTTTGCTAATTGCAGGTTTTTTGAAGCAAGGCTATTTTTCCACCTGTCCTTCGTTGCCCTCTATTTACGATTGATCTCGCCTAAATATATATGCAATTAAAATTTGTGCTGTATTCATATCTTTCATATGACTTCTTGAGACGGTCCTACTTCACTGTCCATTCTTCGAGTTTCGATGTTTTTTTGGATGTTATAAATTATCTAAAAATGTGTTCGTCGCGGTTACAAGACGGGTAATTAAAATAATCCTAATAACTGGGGATTGCCTAGTAATATCGGTTATATGGTTTAAGGATCGATAGCATTTGTCAGTTGATGCTCACGCAACTGAAGTTTGCACTATGCCGTTGCTGTTACTTTTCTTCAATGAAAGGGGATTAGGGTCTTCAAAACGATGTTTCACTTTTCTTCTTGCAGGGAAAGGCATCCCGATGGTATTTGGTTGGAGGCCGACACATATGACGCTCTGATGAAAACCATTGAACGCGATTGCCGAGTATGTTGGTCGCATCATTCCATTGCCTTCATGATTTACTTAATGAATTACTCTCTTTCACACATCCCAAAATACGGGCTTAATCATCACGGTTATGGTGTTTCGCTGTCATTCTGTGTACTTCCTGTGCGACGTCCTACTAGCATTTGATTTGGTATAATTGATTCCCTTGATGTCGCTTGGCTTGCATTTACTTAGGGTAAGGTAACTGCGACTCCACTGTGAATCAATTGTGGCTTCAACCTCAGAACACTCTGTACATCGTCACGTAGACTTGACCGACTCCACATAATTGGTAACGTTAATAGACTGCGTTTCACCACGGGGTTTTGTGTTTTTTCACCTTTCCAAAATGTTGGGTCCGATCTTGTTTTACTACCAAGAGTGTGTTGACGCAACGAGGTGTAATTTACCTCATGTCTTACCTTCAGACTTTAGATTTACTCTATGGTTTTTCAGTATTGCTAGTAAATGACAACTTCTCATGGAGGCATTAAGCAGACGAGCCTTGTTCGAGAATTTATTTAATTACAAATGTTTGTTTACTGGCCTCTACAGGTGCTTGAATCTTTCCGTATAATGGACTACTCCCTCCTCCTCGGCGTGCATAATTTCGACCAAGCAGAGCGGGATCGAGTAAGCACAAGCATGCGTGAATTTAACTCAGTGTCATCTTGACCATGTTTGTCTCCTCTTTTAAACGGGAAGTCGGATTCTCCAAAGTTTAACGTTGTACTGTCTTCAATGAGTAATTTGTGCATATGTATATAAACGGAAGTATTTGAACTACTGACTTCGCTCACCTACACTATCAGCAATATTGTGTTATTAATTTCGAAACGTGTAGATTATTAAAAAAAGCCCGTCATTTTCACAAAAGTGGCGTACAGTGGTGCGTCACGCGCGCCTCATTTTTTTCACACTCGTTTATTTTGGTGTCTAACGTCATCAGTGTGCCATTTTTTCTCTTTTGGCAGAACCGTAAAAAGGAACGATCCTCCGACAATGGTAAGCTTTTGTAATACCGGCTATCCACTCAAAAACAAATGCATTTTTTCTGGTCCTGCCAACGATGTGAACACTTGTATAATGAGCGTCTCTAAAATCAAAGCGTTTTATAATTCCAATTCGCCTTTTGTGGTATTCACAAATTCGTTTTCCTGTATCGGCAAGTTTTACTGAAACCACTGGGTGTGACGCCTCGTCGATGACTCTTCTCCCCTAACGAGAGTCGCCTGTTCCACGTAACATGTCTCACCGACCTAAATTGGCCTCGTCTACCAACTTGTTCAGTTCTGCTTTTTGTGAGTCATCACCAGACACATCCATATTAACGACACTTGTTCATGTAATCTGCGTCTTAAGTTGCTACCTGTGCTTCCGAAATAACCCTATTTTACTCTTAAGCATACCTTGGTGCAAAACATGCACGGCGGTTTCAACCTTCTGATTTCAGTGTGTCTACTTAACGCATTTTACCCCTAGGATTCATACTTTTTTGTGTACCTTCGTGGTGCACCGCATATGTACGTATCGAGACTAACCCATGCATACTTGTTAGATTAGTCAGTGTTTAATGAAAAAAACAGAGAATCAGGTCAGAGCGACTTATTAAGACAGGTTCTTTACGTCAATTCGGCTATTTGTTCTTGTTCCCTGCTCGAATTGAACAGGGCTGAAGAGAAAATATCCGTAATTAGATTGCACCGCTGGTCCCTTTCACTATGAAAACATGTAAATCAATTTACGTTTTAATGCCCATTCGTCAGTTAAAAGATCGTGCAGTATTGTTGCAGGAAGTCTTGCCTTTATTACTTCTACCCTAAAGGCTGGCCCATGCATGTTCACTGTCAGCCCGGGTTGATTCAGTAAATCGACCTAGTCTAATTCTCAAAATAAGTGGACAATCCCACAAATTAAGCATTTGAAACTTTTTCTGGTGTCTGCTGTCCATTTTTCCAATATTTGTTCAAATTAACTTTACCGGAAAAGCTTGTTTAACAGGTTTCCGGTTTACCATCGAACCTCTTGCATGTACAAGGCCATATTCCCTGTGTGTTTTTGCATTCAAAGGTGTTATTCCCGAGGATGGCTTGTCCTCCTCTCATGCTCCAAATTTACGAGCATCAAGTCCTCCAGTGGCTGCTGGAAGAAAAGGCGGCGATGTCATTACGGCGAGTCGCCGGTCAGTGTCTCCCTTTAACCGCAGTGCGTTCCGCACCAAATTAGGCAACAAGCGACTAACTGCTTTCTCCACGGCAATGGAATCCATTGAGGCCAAGGTCGAGCCCGTTGAGATTGAACCTACGGATCCTGGGAAAGCGACCCTGTAGGTACAAATTCTTACCTAAGACTAACATTTTAAATTGGCCACACACCAAACTGACGCATATTACGATTAGTGTGGCGTTTCGTCTGCGATACGCTTTTGCCAGAAAATGTGCGTAAAAGTGATCTATTTTGACAGTGCAGGTAAATCACTTAGCAATGCAGATTAACGGAATAGATTGACATCAATTTCTTGAACCTCATTCTTTGAACAAACCGTGTTCTGTGGGTTACGTCGTATTTAAAAATATTTGGCACGTCCTTTTGGTAACGCTTCACCTTTATGTCACCATTTTAACGTATCACCACAAGAAATTGGACGTTTGTAGACTCGGGGGTTTGCCGGCTCGCAGTGCCTCTGGGGATCGGCTTTTCCTCTTCATTGGTATAATTGATATTCTCCAAAGTTACCGGATGGCCAAGAAAATGGAGCATACCTTGAAATCTGTTGTCATTGATGCGGTATGTTCGTATCCATATTTTGGCTCAGCTTGCTCCTATTAAAATACAAAAAAACGATTTAGTTTGCTGTAATATTTACAGGCATCCTCAATGTTTTATTCCCAATAAAATTGTAATAGATGGCTGGTCGTGTAGGACGGCTGCGTAAAATGAAGTGTCGTCAAACTACGATCTAGCCAAGCCCATTCCTCTAAAGTCTGTTTCTTTTTGTAAATAACGCCTTTTGGTCAACCCTCCCTCGAACTCCATCATGTCCGTGAGGCCTCTGTTGAGGGCCAGCGTCGAAAAGGTGTCTCTTAGACAGACTCAGAGTGGTATTATACAAAATATTTGAAAAAAAAGATGTCCTTGGATATCAAGATTTTCTATTACCCACATCGCGTTCTCAAAGCCGTGTCGGTTCAAGCAATTTTAGTGCAAATTTATCAAATATAGGTGTCGGTGCCAAGTTCTTAAAACTATTTGTACCCCCTTTTATGTAGAAACTGATCTATTTACCATCGTACGAAGTGCTATTATTTTCTCAACATATCAGTTTTAGAAATCACCTAAAATAATTCTCTCATAGATTTTGACCAAAGCACTATTTTGTTTTCAACTTTCTTTCTCAGTCTTATGTCAGCATTCATGGTTTTTATGTTGCTCCCATAAAAATCATGAAATAATTTGACTTTGAACATTTGTTGTCCGATTTTACAAAAAAACACTCTTTTTCCAAATACTTGTAATTTTTGGACTTACAGTCAGCATTCAATTGCATCTGGGTCATTTTGTATATTAAATAATTTAACAGAATCGTGTTATTTTGTTTTTTTTTTCACGCAATTTTTATACAAATGTGACTTAGTAATAAGTATACTTCATTAAAATTATACTTTTTTAAACTTTTTTAAATTATTACCATCCCGTCCAATATCTCCAAGCATCTTTTTTGTTGTTTAGCTGAACTTTTCATGAATCTTTTATTCTCTTATGTCATTTTTCCTTATCCCAGGAAACTGTATCTGTGACGAATCCTAGTTTCTATGCGAGACGATTTCAAAATGCCCTTGGGACGTGTATTTTTCGAAAAATTCCTTCTCGTGAGTCTCTTTTCAATTTTTTTCTTTGTATTCAACAGTTAAACGCTCCAAGTAAGACAACTTTGTTCTCATTTTCTGCAAAACACTAACTCAGGCATTCATGCACACCTCTAAGGAAGCGACTTTGATAATGCAGGTTTGTATCTGCGGCCCCAGTGCTTTCACAGCTAAACAACACACTAGCATTCCACCTTGTAAAGGCTTTTTAGTTTTTAATAACGGCGATTCCTCTTGTTTGTCAATGCCGAAACCTCTGGCAAGTGTGATTGTATGAATCCATTGCCGTCGTCATTAATTTCGTCACTTAAAGATTCATGTTAAGCCTAGCGGCTTTTAAATTGCTGTTAGCCTGCAGAATGGCTATCACATCGTTTATTTATCTTACTTTGATCGTTGCAAACTTTCCCCATTTGACCCTATTTGTGATGTTAGCTGGAAGTCAGTCTGAGTGAAACTTCTTTGTTTTTTCTTCTAATTGGCTTCTTTTTCCCTTTTATTTCCCCTTACCCTCTATCTAAACACTCGTTACTGCTGTTGTGTCTGCGCGCTGTAACAACATCGTTCTGCATTATCTATGTTATTTGTCGTCTTACAAAACTGCATTTTGCTTATCGAAAACGAACAATTTGTAATCCCGACTCTGCTGCATGCTTGTCAATGCATGTCTCAAACCTCCTTTTATCTCACCGTCTTTTCTTTTGTAAATAAATCTGCTCAACAGTTGACCCACCACAACTATTTGGTCCGAAAGCTATGCGCTTCAGGCGCTTAGCTCATCTGGGTTCGTTACTTGTTGCCTTGTGACTGCATTTTCTTCACCATTAACGTCCAACTAGACGACCATTATGTCGTGCTTGGAGCACGTCGTTGTCGTTTTGTATGTTTCGGCGACCTTTACCACGCATTGTTAGTAGAAGCTTGTCCAGATTGCATTAGTTGCGGTCTAGTATATGTCCTGCATCAAATAATTTCACAAAACCTGTTACCGTGTGCGCGATTCTGTTCTTTCCACTCACACATTTATTTCATCGCCATTCAAAGCCTTATTTGCTAAACGGTTTATTATCTAACCAAAAAGGAAGATGTTTTTATCTTACTTCTCCAATCACTTTTTGTTCTAAACACTCCTTAAATTCAGTAGAATCTTGTACGTTGTAATCGAGACAGTGGGTACTATAAAACCAAAGTGCCTTCGTCTGTTTTACTCTCCACTCTTTAAGAGGTAATTGGTAATATAAGTGGATTTTGGGGTTACTCGTCAACGTGTAGAAGCTTATTATTTAATTAGAGAATTTTCTAAACTTTTCCTCCCTGCTTGATTGAACCGTTGTTTCGAAATAAATGTTGCTTTATGCAACTATGCAAATTATTACATTTCTTCATCATATGTAATTTGTTGAACATTCAAGTTGCGTGTGTAAATGTGTCTTTTATAAATGAAACCCACGTCTATCATATGCTGGCCCCTACTTTTTTTAGCTTTTAACTTGGCTTTCCAAGCCACTACTGTTGAATATTCACTTGGATCTTTGGTCCTAATCGTAAAGGCTCTACTCCTCAAAATATGCCTGCTTGAACTGAGTTGTTTCGCAGTTTTGTTGCTGTGAAATGGGTGAAGAAATCCGTGGAATAGGCGACCATTCCATTTGTTCTGATTCATTTTTCTTAATAAGTTTTCTTGAATTTTGAATATTACCCTCTGCCATGGTTGCGATTTGACAGGTAATGTGGGATATGTCATCTTGACAATTACGTTTACACTTTCTAAGATAACTACAAGCCACTTCAAAGGTACCCATTAGTGTAACCTTTCCTTCATTTCCAGCCACTGCAGCTGTTGGTAAGTTTTGCACATGTGTCACACAGAAATTGGTTGAGGTAGTCGTAGTCATAGTTATCTCTGTTCTCACCCTATCTCTGTACTTTCCACCGGCACTTATCGTTAACATTTCATTCACTAAGCGTTGTACATGCTATTGTTTGAGCTTCATTGATGTGCGCCATGAAGTCACTTTTAAATATATGTGCCTAATTCGTGCCTGTCTTCAAATTCTGACCAACCGCTTTAAGGTATGTTTGATTTGTAAAACCAGTATCTAGCGTAATCTGGACCTCGTTATGAATTTTTCGGTAAAAAAACTATTTCCGCCTTCTTCAGCAACCTGTTTAAAGCTATGATTATCTCACGCAGGAAAGCGTAATCCATAATTGTTTATCTTTCCTCCCAGTTTTCATTTGAATGGAGTTAGTGAGGTCAGTGGGCTCTAACGTAATATGTAAAACTTTATGTATTCCAACTTCGTTTTAGTTCCAGTATCATTTTTACTACAGAAAAAGAAACAATATGTCATAAACGACCGTACAAATATGCTATTTGTCGGATTGGTGAAACAGATAATTTCGTGCGCAATAAGCGCACACCTCAGAAGTAGTTCCCAAGTCAATGTTCGATATTATAATCATCCGATGAAACAGTAGTTCCGAGTGCCGAGCGAAATCATCACTGAGTCAGACTTGTCACGATTGGGATTCAGAAATCAATCGTGGTCGGAAATCTGTATGAATTAACTTGATGATAATTATAGGATTTAATTCCGTGCAATGGTGGTGCGTGATTAGCCATTGCAATCGGCTACGAAGGCAAACTTACATTTTACTGTGTTCCATCTGATGTGGTTTGTAGTGTATTTTGTACCACTAGTTGTACCTACCGGACTACATTAACGATTACATTAGCCTCTCTGTAGCCAAAACATAAAGAGTCAAAGACAAAAAGCGGTCAGAATTCGCCCAATGAAAGGGCGATGTTTCTTCGTGACGTCAAACCTTGTGCTTCCGGGAGGACCCAAAAAAGCTGTTCCAAATTAGCTTGAAAGTTCTAGTAGATGTAGCATGCCACCCAAACCTCACACCCTCGCAACATCACCAAATCAATTTTTAAGGAACAGTTTCAAGTGTGATTTTTTAATATTTAAGCGCTTACCAGAGCTGACAAGTTCAGTTTTCGCTAACTAGTGCCGATATCTTAACGGGACGAATGTATCTGCTACCGACAAGCCGTGAGATCGTTGTCAAGATGGGACACTCACAACTGAGAATACTTGTTTCTGGCTTTTAAAGTATTATTAACACACTGGAAAGAAAATGAATGTAACAAGTTTTATAATATAAGTAGGCCAATACCGCCCTTCTTGTTTGCTTTAAGTGTTTGTCATTAAATCGGAGGTTCCGAATTGTTATTGTGTGTTAGGTTATACAAATCCACAGAACTGAGCATCTTTAGGCGTTTGTGTTTTTTGCAGCCATGAAGCAGTCCTCAGCTCGACGAAGACAATTTCAGTCAACAAAATTGTCAATCCCGTATGCAGCCACCAACGGCAAGTTCAGTTTAGTTATGATTATAAGTAACTGTACCTAACTCGAAGTGGCTGGTGCTTTACGCTCTTGTATGCTTACTACTATTTAATTGGGTACGTCGGTTTTAATGTAATTCGTGTTTATGTCCCCGAACCTGTTGATTTCGCTTGTACTGGTTGACAAAAGTCTATTTTTCTGCATTTATTATTAATCTGATATTTATTTATATGCAATTTCACTCCAATTATTTGTGGATTTTTCAATTTAAACATCTTTATAGTCAGCATTTCTAATGGCTCGGATGGTTGGGTTCCTACGAAAAAAGTGCTATTGTTGTCACTCATTTGAGTAGCCAGGCTTCTGATAAAGGGTGGAGCTTACACGAAAGCCAAAGGATTTTGAAAACATCGAGGTCAAAGTAATGACTAATGAATTTTCAACGTTGAACACGAGTCATACTCAGTTGTATTCCCAATTTAGCAGAGTGTATTCTCTTGAAAAACTACCTCCTTCTGTGTTATCCCTTTTTGCTTACATTGTAAAGCATTGTCGTAGTCTGTGGGCGCGTAGTCATCTTTCTTATTTTATTTTTTGTAGATTTGGCTGTCGCACTAACGTAAGCTAACCTCTAAAACTCACAACTGTTTTTTTAACACTTAATGCACTGTCACATTGCTAAAGTAACGCAATGCTAAAAGTGATAATTTTAATTTCACGTAGGTCTCCCAGTAGTGAAACCATTGCCTCAGTGACAAGTGAGTCAATTTTCATCATTGTTTTCTAACAGCATGATTCACGTCCGCATTGTCAATAGATTTTTCGTGTTGATTGCCTACTCAGTATGTGGCGGTCATTTATGTTGTGCTCTAAAAGCATGTCTAAAACGTCGTATCAGCCATTGGGTGGTGATCTCCCAATCGTGCTCTTCATTTCTTGCAAGCCTTGTTTTGAAGCTTCCAGGGTATCACTACAAATCCGTTTTTTGCACCAAGTGGCAAACACACCTCAATCGTAGTGTAAACGTTTGTAGGATTGTTGCAGTTCTAAGGCGTCAAAGAATTTTCATTAATCATTAGTTGTGTATCACTCCTGGTGCGTAATGCAAAGTCCTCGCTTTCTTGCCTTTCGGTCGCCTCCAGTTGTATATCTGCTTTTCTAACGGCCTTAATTTGTTACGTGCTCTGCACGTTTTATTCGTTCATAGGGCCACTGTTGCTCTGTCTCCTATTTGTCTTATTGGCATGTTTTTTAAAGCAAACTTGTAGAATTATAAATGTAAGCGGGGTTGTTCGAATTTGCCCTCCCGTTACTTTCCCTCTCGTAAATTTTACTCATCGATCTGTTTGCCAATAATTAACACATTTCGTCAGACATTATCTCTAAAATTGTTCGTGTCTGGAGACACATTGCATTATGAAGGAACTCTTGCATTCATCTTAGTAAACATGGAGCATTTGTTTCGTGTTTTTTGAGTATCAAAAGTACACAAAGAAAATCTTCGTTATCTAACATGATCTTTAGCCAATGTCTTTCCTTTTCACTAACTACATTTGATGCACGTGACCTGCACATCTTAGTGTCCGTCGCTGCCCTGTTTTGATGAAGCCAGCAACCTTGTTCATTTAGTATTAATACCTTCGTTGGCTTACGCGTGCACAAGTTTCACAACAGCATCTCTTGTCACAATCAGTGGAATTTATAATTTCGGCAGAATTTGGACAGGTCAGTGATAATTATTCACTCCGAAATGATTGTTGAATTGGATTGCTACAATTGTAATCGGAGGCTTTACAAAGAAGTCTCCGTGTGTTGTTCGAGGCTTTCGCTTTCGGGGCCCATGATTACACATGACGTAGTGACGCGACTTACCACAAGCCTTGGATTCCCCTTACCTTGAGTAAATCGTTGGAAGTGAGACCTGGCACTTAAGTTACTCGCCGTTTCAGTTTTTCAAGTCGGTTTGTTCACCCTAAGCAGTTTCTGAAATATTTGTACATTAAATAAACACTTAAATCAGATTAGTTAGCTTCAGTCCTAGTATTTTTAAGGTCATATTTAGCCCCTTCCTTGAATTTAATGTCGGTTTTTCCCTCTCTTCATCCCTGGTTTACGCGCCTTGTAGCCGCTACAATGACCACGTCAACAGAACTTCAGCCACTCTCTCCACCAATTGACCTTGCTGCATATGTTCAACTGCTTATTCTTATCGGTTTCTTGCTTTGTATGCAACTAACGTCTGTCCTAATGACCGTACACCCTCCCTCCTCTTTCTCGTAGCACGCTAACTCCCACGGCGCGACCGCCTATCCCCTTGTGCCTATTTGCCTTCCATCATGTTACTTCCCAATGAGTGCATTTCACCCAATACCTCCCGTCTTTCACTCTCGTTTTTCAAGAAATGGTGTAACTGCTACCCTTACCCTTTGATGAAGTAAACTGACTCATCTAATTAGCAAGTTTTGCGGGGCAGTTGACCACCTCAAAGGTAATGTGGCGAGGTTTGTTGTTCGGTCGTTTGGCAACATTTTTTCAGTCATACAGGAATCATGTTCGCACGTCTTTGCCTGGTCCTTTCGATGTTCTGTTATTATAGTTTATAATGATCGTTTCTATTTAATTTATTCGTTATCGTTGCAATCTGTCATCTCACGTCCACTTTTTGTCTAAGGCGATCAAGTGTTAATGATTAAAGTAAATTAGGTCTTAGGGAACCGCCGCACCAAGACAAAAAATAAGCGCAACTGCTATCTGCCTGTGCTTGAACCATTGGCGGTTCAGCATCCTTCGCCAGTCATTTCTCCAAACCACAACTGATTAAATTAACTAACGCAATGCACTTTTACTGGATCTCATCCTAGATTTTCCTAAGGAAAAGCTGATATGGGGGTATGGTTATGATTTTTAAAGTTCAATTCATCCACTCAAAAAATTTCTAGCTTACTTATTGACCACATTAGTTTTTGAGTTCTTATTATTGTTATTGTATAAATTAACCGACTTTTTCTATTTTCCGTCCATCCCTTGCTCTCTGCCACCTAACCCATTTGCTTTTACGACGACTCATTCGCACCGATTCTTTTCGTGCATAATTTCACTGTTGGCACATTTAATTCTGCAATGCACTTGCGCTTGCTAGCTTGGCCGCGCTGCCACTTTTTGCCAGGTTCCTCGCGATTCTCGTCAGCATGCTCCTCGGGTTACTCCACTATGGTGAACAAATGTAATTGGGTTACAGGAGGGGGACAGGGGTACCAGAGCACCGAGTACACCCATTCCGCCTCAGTTCCTCTCTGTCTCCGAAGGCAGTCTCTTAGTTCGGAGCCGTACCTCTTCCAGTCCCCGCGTGGAGAACTTTCGTGGTGTGCACAGTCCATCCTAAGCCTTCGAATGGACTCCGATGCCACCTCAGAATCTGATCGATCCGATAGTAGTAGCAGTTTTGGGGATAATTTTCTCCTCCGACCCGAGGATGGGACAGTGATGACTACTCAGGGTAAAAAAACCGTTGGCGAGCTAGACTCGGAGCTCGCGGCAGTGCAAAAAATGGTCCGTCGAGAACGTGCTCGTAAGCAGAAGGAAGAGGCGCATAAGAATCATTCGACCTCAAATTTGCAGCTCAGTAAAAGCATATCAGTCGCAACCACCTCGATCGTACCGCACTATGCAACTGTATCCGGACGACGGGCTCTCCACGGTGGTGTGCCTCCACCCGTCGATCGACGTAGTCGGACGCCCTTGGCGCGGCAGCGGGATGGCTCGCCTCGAATCCATAAACCCCCACCACCTCCCATGACCGTCTCCGTCTCCACTTCAGCCCTCTCAGACTTCATGCGTAATGCCGAGTCGGACTTCGAAGAGAACCTTTGATTGCCGGGGTGTGTGCAATATGTACCTACTACACCTTGCTGTCATTTTCCTGGCTCTTTAGAAAAGCGTTTCAACCAGAATTACTTCGGGCTTTGGTGCTGTGTTTCGGGTTTTATTAAGCCAATAATTCGCTTCCCCAATGCACGCAGATCTTTCGGAATGCAACCTGTTCAGTTCCTCCTAGTTGCTCTACCTGGAATGCGCAACATAACATTAAAGTGAAGTGTCTTCATAAGCAAATGAAGACTCTCAGTGGCAATCTGTAGTTATCACCGTCCTATGCAATACCAATGCACAAGCATGTAAAACGTATTTCGCTTACAAATAGGATGCTCACATGCTAAAAATAATACCTTACGACTTATCGAAGTGGTGTCTTTTGACCGTGTCGTTAATGGATGTGGAATTTTAACGTGCAAACTGATGCGCCTTCTTGACCCTTCTTTTTAGAGTTACCAAACTAGAACGTATTGCAATTATCTGAGCATGGCATTTTACACACATTTTAAATGTATGTTATCGTCAATTGTTGTCGCCCTGCGAAATTATGCATGTGCATTTAGGCTAATTACATGGCCTAGTTTTTTTCTGCGACAAATTTCCGCTCTAACGCACACCATTTTTCACACTTGTAGGTCTTCAACCTCCAGCATGTGCACGGTGAACGAACGTCATTGCCTTGTCGAATTACTTCACCCCTAACGACCCTTGTATAGGTACCCAACAACTGGGTGTTCCACCCCACTCTCTGGTGTCGTGCGTGCTTAACGGTTTGATGATGAGGATTAACTTTCGTCTGACTTTCGTGATGATTTCTTTTTGCTTTTCTCTCTATTTCCCAAAATTTATAGTATTTTGGTTAACTCCCTTCGTCCTTTTGGTGTTGTTGTTTCCCAAATTTCTGAAAATAGATCAAAATCAGCCACTACGTATTAAAACCTACAGGTTGGTGTGTAGGCCCCAAATTTCGCGTACAATTCCTTCTTCATTGTTTTCAGTTTTCTATTTTGTTAGTCTCGGCTCAGTGAAAAGCGCAACTGAAGACACTCTCGCTCCGCTTTTTTCCCTTAGTAATAAACTTCAGTCACAAATATCCAGCTCACTTATTCGAGAATCAAAATTAGTCTTACGCTATGATTAGAGCAACAGATACCGTGGTGTCAAGCCAAGAATATAGCTTCGTAATCTTAGAACGCCTGTAGAACAGTTTGTAGGGTGATTTTCCTTGCCTGTAGGTATTTATTTATTTACTTGATTGTAACTCCAAAATTAGGAAGCAAACCAACTGGGTATTGACGATTCGAACAGTAAATCGATTGCGCTAACCTCTACTAACTTTTATTGTGTGCTGGAGGGTTCTTTTTAATCGGGTTAACATGTTTAGCAGACCCGCCTTGTTTAACTTGCCGAGCAAACGATCTCGTTGCTGTTGTCTTGCGTCGTTCGTGGCTGTATCTCCATCACCAACACTGGCAAATTTTATGTACGTGTGCAAATTGGCTGACACTTGGGTGTATCTCTAGGAAATGATCGACACATGCTGTTAACTGCTTGTGACGAGTGTGTAGGTGGTTTGCTTTCTTGTGATCTTGACATATTTTCCAAAAGTAATCTTGCCATTCCGTCTGATGATCATCCAAATAGTGTGGTTTCAAACACCCTATGTGCAATGGTCCTAGTTTTCTGCCACCTTGACCAACGACTTTTGAATGAAGTGTGTTCATACTCAACGAAGCTTGTGCAGCCTGTGAAATATCGTATCGCTGTTTAAGAACGCAATAAAATGCTAGATGTGTCTTTGCATTTTCCGAAAATCCAATATAACCTCATAAAAAAGATTAAATTGAACAATAAATCATAGCCATATGATTTATGACGTGCATACATAAGCGTAGTGTTTAGCGGATGTAATTTTTTCCGCTACCTTCGCTGGCTCTGTGAGTAAATGATGACTTGGCTCCAGGTTTTGCCAGTAAGCCTTCACAGCCTTTCCCATACTGTGATGCCAGTCCACTTAATAATAAGTCCTATCACTGAAATAGTCTATATTATTGCGGCGTCCGTCCATGTACGACGGCTAAATAGATTTAAGACGAGTCTTTCCTTCCAGTTTAATCGTGCACGAAAAACCACCAAGTCTTTAATCTTGTCCATCCTAAGTTCTATGTTGCAGTGTTCAGAGCTAAATAGGGTATTTTCGTCAGGTGTCGATATTTGGTCTAGGATTTCAGTGCATTTTGTACATAAAATGTAGCTCAAGCATAACAAGGGTGTCGCCGAGTTTATGTGTATGAAGTCACCAAATTATTTTTATTAAATAAAAGACTAGTTGGCAAAGCGTCACAAATAAAAGCAACGGACCTGAGTGTAAGTCCACCAGTGAATTTTAAGATTTGCTATGATCAGCTTAACGCCCCACCACAAATGGTGGATTCGTAAATAGAGTTGCTCGGTTCAAACATACTATCGCGATAGGGTTTGATAAGGTTTAACAAATAGGTTCCAGTTAGGACTTACAATTCAGGCGCTTAGATCATGCTTATCACGTTATCCCGTACGTAATCAATCGCATTATATTTTGGCAGATTCATAAGTGTAAAATAAGACGAGAGGATTACAATCCACCGAAGATAACATCAAAGTGATGCGATAAGAAAACACCACACACCATTAAACGGTCACAAAAGTTAGCAAAGTAGACAAAAGCACACAGAGTCCAAAGTGTTCAAAACAACTGGTCACAACGATGATGCGGAGGATGCTGTTACTGATAGTCAATCCTGTGTTGCAGATGTTTACCCTCACCTTCCAAGTAAACGCCGATCGCTTTGACGTTAAAACCGATGTCTCTGAGTTGCTTGTGGTCGACTATTAGGCGACCGTCAAACAGCCACGCTGGCTTGCTCATGACGTCATAAAGGCCCCGATAATCCAAACACTAAATTATGATAAGACATAAACAGGAAAAAATGCATTGATGCTGTGCAGATGAACTTCATACATTGAGACGTCAAGTATGCGATCAAGTGCGTGTTTATTGGGGGCATGAAAGCAACACAAGCTACATATTAACAGTACTGGGTGACACTGAAGACCAAATTAACCCATCAGGGGCAGTCAGTAGATAATTATCATTTTAGACGAGGTAATTCAACTTAAAGTGATACAAGGCCCGCGTAAATTCGCATATCAAGTGGTCCAATCATGGGATTCCTCAAGATGCGTAGATGCCTCGGTCTTGGATATCGGATCTATCGCTGACTCGCCAGTCAAGACAACAGCCCCTATTGCTACACGAACATAGCTAATTCAATCTAAAAACTACTGAATAAGATGGCAAATGTAAACTAGAATGGTCTGATTAAGTGATCGTCTTTTGCGAATGCATGCAAGCCAATCACGGGATTTAAAACTAGCCTTAAATTCATCCCATTCAGTGCAGATAACAATTGCGTGAGAGTTAACCGCGGCTTCCGTTGCACTTCGACAAATTGTGACATTGGCGCGAACTAAAAATAAGTTGGCAAAATTAACATAAAAAGCATGCGATTCGAGTACAGGTCTGGTTCGAAGTGAACGTTTTCTAAAAATGTACATGGTCTAAAATTCTCATGGACCAGAAGCTGCACACGACGAAATATGGCATTGGTTATTTATTATCCTGGACGTAAGAAATATTTTAATCTATATGATTGTACAAAATTTAATAGGTCTCCCCATAGTTGAGCTAAAGGATTTAACGCCACTCCCATGTCAATGTAATTAAAATCGGCCGCGACCTGTACAAAACTACTTGATTTACTGGCTCTATCAATAATCATAACAAGTGCAAGGACCCTTCCAAACATTAGCAAAAAAGACGAAAGTTTCATATCATTCACCTCACCGGTGTCGCAGTAAAGCGCCTTGCTTTCTAAAAAAATTATGTTCCATGCCAACTGTAGTAAGCTTCAAATAAACAGGATCATTTCTGATGAGGCCATGCAATAAGTCCGTGGTACTCAGCAGTAATACATTCTTACCTACACCGGAATCTGAAAATTCACTAAGATCAGCAATGATCTGGTCATCCTTGACTTGGGGATCGAAAATGGCAAGATAAGCGCATTCAGAAAGGAGGATTGAACACACCCTGATCGCAGCGCTCTCCCTGAAAAAAAGCAGGTCGCGTGAGAAAACAAGTCGACTTTCACATTCGGCTGACAAAATATGGCTTGGCAAGCGAAAAACATCCTGGCGTTTGCTACTGTGCTTCTAGTTTTTAGTCTTTGAGTATTTTTCGCTCCGATGTCCAAGCAATGTGCTGACTTATGACGGCATGATTATGACAGAAGATAACCAGACGTTTGCATTCAGGGGATTCTAAAGTGAGGGACTACATTTATTGAAATATGCTAGTTTTTGTGCTTAATTTGGGAAACTGCTTAATCTGCATCGGAGGTTGTAAAACAGTCCATGCAAAGATAGGTATTACTTCACACGTAAACTAACCTTGTATCACCTGTGTCTTTTTTAAATGCAAAACCCAAAATGGCAATTCTTTTGTCACGCAGGTTGTTGAACATGGAGCGCAGTATGGATCGTGAAAATCTTTCCATCTGGTGGTCGTTTATTCGGAGAACCATGTTCCAATATGAGGCCACCTCTGGGAGATTCAAGGACTCACAAATGTAGGTCTGTATTCGAAACATTGGAATTAAACTTATTAATTTAGTCGTAATGCCTGCTACTTAGATAAGTAAAGAAGTCGTAAGGCGCAAGAGAGTTGGAAGCAAGGAAATGCCCGGAAGCTAATAATAATAAGATGCTTACTAGGTTGAGAATGTCTTTTCGGAAACAGCTGCCACCAAAACCGAGACTGGCCTGGAGGAAATATGGACCGATTCGAGAATCCTGACTGATTGCCATCGAAACCTCACGGACATCGGCGCCAGTGGCCTCACAAATAGCTGAAACCGCGTTTATGCTGCTGATACGCTGTGCTAAGAAAGCGTTAGCTGCCTGAAAGCACAAAATTGACTAATGATTGAAGAAGGAGCCGCAAGATTCATTTTGCGCAACTGCCAGAGTATCATACTCCTAGAATAAAATTCAACCCTAAACCTTTAATAACTGACTATGACCAATCAAGGTTGCATTAGAGTACAGATGAACTCATAAGTTAGTTAACGCAAAAAACGTGGGAATATCGATCAAAAATTTGAAATTACTTTGCGAGCGTGAACTTTTCGGACATGAAGAATTTGTAATTAAAAAACAAAAATGGACGCGAGCTGAGCACAAAGTTATGTTCAATATTAAAATTTATTCATTGGTTTAAAGTTTGTGCAAGGTAGAAAAAACTAAGTGTTTCAAATAATTAGCTTACAAGTTTCGAAAGTTCTGACGACCAAACTGATGTGAGGAGAATTCTGTCCTCAGGAATCCAGTGCTTGTACACCCAAGTGAGCATCTCAAGGCCACGACGACTAGCGGGAGAATTCTCATCTCCCCCAATTAGAATTCGATCTGGATAGAGTAGGTCCTTGATAGCAGTACCCTCAGCAAGAAACTCGGGATTTGATAGAACGGTATGCTCCAGCTAGTAACAAAATTAACATGCGTTCTACCGATTAAACAAGGCCTCAGAACTTCTGATAATAGAGGCAAAAGGAAAAGCTTGTTCCTCTATAACGTACATGCTTGGGTGATTGGAGATTTAGGAGTTCTGCCACTCTAGCAGCTGAACGGACTGGGACCGTGCTTTTTTCGACAACCACTTTCGAGGTTGTAAAACAAGCGGCCAACGTTCGAGCAGCCGCCTCAAGGGTGGTTAAGTCCGCAGCACGTCCCTAGATGGGAAGCAAATAAATTTTGTCAAGATCCTAGATACATTTCTCATTACTGTAGAAATGACACTGCGTCTTTTGAGTGAAACAATATGAAGAAGCTTAACATCTTAATAAGTAAATAAGTAATAAAACGTCTCTGACTTACGATGCCAATACCGTAATTCTTTGTTGGTGTGTTAACGCAGATAAAAATAATGTCAGCCTCACTGGCATGCAAAGTGACGTCAGTAGAAAAATGTAGATTTTTCCCCCTACAGGCTTTGACTACGTCCAAAAGACCTGGCTAAATAAGGTGAAGGCATGCATAACGTTTACAAGGCTGAGAAAGCTGACGTTTAGTCGCAAAACGGTCACACATACTTCTTTAATGGGAAGGACGTCAGTGTTCCAGGCAGCAATACGATCCGCATTCGAATCAACAACAGTCACCTGGACCTCAGGACATTTCAAAGCGATTACAGCTGAAGTAGGTGTACCAACATAGCCCGCACCAACGCAACATATGCGTTCTAATTTAAAACTTTGGTTCCAAGTCATTTATTCTAGAAACAAAATTATGAGTTAGCAAAGGACAAGAAAAAATGCATTATCATCAACATAAATTGCCTACTTTTAAAGCATAAAAGGCACATTAATTACAACAAACCACAAATATTTAACCAAAAGGCATAGACGTTACAAACTTTTCCTAGAGAGGGATCTGAAGATTATCAAATGACAACAGTCAACTATGAAATGTATCTGAAAATAAAAATATAATAAAAAAGTCCTACAATCCCCAAAAAATTCGAGACCACAACCGACGACTGCGAACCAACAAAACCAATGCACTTTGAAAAAGTGCCAGCAAGACACATATTTAAAAAGTCGCACGAAAACGTCACCTGCGAAATTAAAACAATCGCTAGGTCAAAAAAATTACCCTTGTTTGTTTATATAGGCTGCTGCACTATTACTGCTAATTAGCAGCAAAACAAAAAATCGCGCTATATGTAGTGAATTGCCTATATAAAAGCAAATACGCCGTATTAAAATTTAGACCGTGCTGAATTGGGTACAAAGACGGTCGGTAAAATTGAAATGCTTTCTTTCAACAACTAATAGTAGTTTACGCTGTCAAACCTGTCAAGAACGGAGATTTATTTATGCTGTCTATTAATAGAATCTTCACTAAATGGGAAAGAAATTAGACAAGTTTTGATGACATAAGGATATTAAAATGCCTATTCAAGCCGTAATTCCGATCCTAAAACCAGATGCATTACTATATATAAAAAACACAAAAAAGCACAAAAGAAATGCCTTAGTAGGGCTTTTAATCACCTCTATATTTGGATGATTAAAAGGAGATTGATTTGAGAAAATGGTCGCGAAGTGCTGACGGAGAAAGAGACGTAGAGCGATTAAAACGAACTCCGGCCTCTACAAGAGCAGCGCACAAGCGTTGAGTCAACTGTCTGCAAGCGC